GGCTACATTTCTCTTTAGTAATTTAAAAGGCCCTCTGTTTATTATCAGCACCTCTTTATGGTGCTGACAATAAAGACTTTTATTTTTTCTCTGGTTGAATTTTGTCTGTCTTAAAAACGTGTTTGATGATCTAAAATATTTACATGGAACATAAAAGCGGAAAACAGAAAAAAAAAAAATAATTCTCCCAGAAAATAGTTTTTCACTGCACTGTGGGAGGAAAGAAAGGAGGCAACCTTTCTCAATTCTTAAGTAAAAAAACAACAACAAATCTTTGCTTTTAATTTGTTGTCCCACTGCAAATTTAAGACGGCAAGCGCTTTGTCAACAAACGCATGCAAACGGGCTTCGGGAAAGCACAGCAAAAAACACAACTTAAAATGAAGAATGTCAACAACGAGAATTTCAAAGAAGAGAATAATTGCTTCAAGTCCATTGTAACTAGTGCTTCTTTAATCTATCCTTCTTTCCCTCAGTCCCTCCTGTTTTTATAGAAACCAATTAAACATGGTTGTTATTATGTTAGTGTTCTTATGAATTGGCCACTGGAACAAAGATACAGGAAGAAACGCTGTGATTCGGCTCTTCCAGCCCATATACTAGTTTTGTTCTTGGTAATTAGTACCATAAGGATTCTTTTTCTTACCACAGTCAAAAACCTTAAGCTTCCTGCTGAAACCTAGCTGACCCTTTGCACAGGCTGCTTTTATTTTAAAGCTGTGAAAGCACTTACTGGGCTGTCAACAGTGATAGGTTACCCTGAAAACACAGCACATTTGGTACCTTAACACAAATGGAAAAGACAGAATGGCACAAAGGCATATTTAGGTGTGCAAAATTATTCCAATTTAAAAACCTTGAACATTTTGTCACTTTACATTTTGTCACTTTACAACCAAAAACGTAAATGCGTTTTACTGGAATGTAATGTGACAAAAGTAGGAAAATAAAACATGGCTTTTTAATTTTTTTTTTTCTTTTTAAAGGTTTTGTTGGCTCTATTGGCCTTTATTTCAAAGTAGTTTGACAGGAAACAGGGTAATGAGAGAGGGGGAAGAAATTTTTTTAATTCTGTACCAGACATTTTGTATTCAATGTCAAAACTTTGCAGTCGAATTTAGAAAAAAAATAAAATAAAAAAAAGCATCCCCACAGCAAGATGCTGCCACCACCAAGATTTTTTGGGCGACATCTGATCGGAGCGGCTCCTTCCAAATGTTTGCTTTGTCCAGCTGCAAATAGGGTTTCTCAGTGACATCTGAGAAACCCTATTTCTCCTGCTCTTCCAAAAGGATCCAATAGATGTCCCATCAACAAGATTCTTCCCCTAAAAATGTGGATCTCTGCAGTCCATATGGCCACATGTTTTGGCTAATTAGCCTGGTGAGAGAGCCAGTCATGATGACTGGCTCTCTCACTGCTATTGAGTTTCTTTCTACTCACTAGCAGTTTTTTATGTGAATTTTTGTTATATGAAGAAAGGATGATGCTACCACATTAAATTATGAATCTATTTTAGGGCTGCTTCTCCATCTTTTTCAGGGATGCAAAGCAGAGACGATGTGTTGTAACGCAAATGAGGACTGAATGATCCAAATAAGGCATCTATTGACTTCATAACAAATTACAAAGTTTACAGGAGAACCAGATGGCATTGGCACCTTTGAAAGAGTGACCTCACACCCTTACTTCTGGTGAGAAGATAAAGGCACACAAGCTCTTCCCTGAGCCCCCCAAAGTTCAGGTCTTCAAGAGCTAAGCCCAGGTTTTGAAGGCCTCTGCCAGGTGTGAGGGGCCATGTAAAGGTCTGTGTGAGCACTAACTAGCCACAGACATCTCCAGGGGGCTTTCCCAAGACAAAATAACAAAAAAAAGAAAGAAAAGAAAAAAAAATAAGAAAGGGGAAAGTGTGGATTGCATAGAATCTTTCACAGATTTAAGACGGGAAACCTGTTCTTGTAAAAGGCGAGCAGACTGGAGTGCATGTGTGTCTGTGTGTCGTTTCTAACTACAAAAGATCCGTAAGATTGAAGGAGCTCCATGAAGGAGAGCAAGATTGTTTTGTCGGGAAGGTTTTTAATGCACACCAGACAGATGGGTTCAAGACTGCATTCTCTTCGCTTATCCTCTTTTTCTCCCAAAGCTCAACTTGAAAGATGTTACAGAACAAACACCCTCATTAAAGGTTATCAGTATTTGATACCATATAGTAATTTTTCTCCTCTCATGTCTCACTATGTCTCACTAGAGCACGTGGGAAAAGTTAAGACGACTAATTTACTCCCCAGACCTTGTAGAGAATCCTTCTGACTTAGCTGCTCTTAGAAGTCATCAACAGCAGAGCAGTCAGATCTATATGCATTTCTGACTTGTGCATGTTGGTTCCAGCTCAAACTCAGCTTGTGCTCTCCAAATAACACCCCACAGAGGGAGGTTGATCTACTATGCTCCACATTTCCTCAGCTTGTCAGCAGAAATTAGGTCAAGAGTTGAAACAGTTTCAAAATTCTTAAGGGAGTGTTTCTCATGGTGATGCAGAGAAACATACAGAAAACAGCAGTCTGTGGTGAAGATATAAAACAATAGCAATAGACTGACTAAAGTACAGCGACATGAGAAATTACGTATACCCTCTGAACTTTAAAAATATCTAGTTCTTTTAATGGTGTTGTTTAATGTATTGTACTGGGATTGTATGTGATAAATCATCTAAAAGTTTTGCAGAAATGTAAATGTGTTTCAATCCAAACCATGGGTGTCCAGCTCCAGTCATTAAGGGTCGGTGTTCTTCCAACTTCAAATGTTGGAAGAACATTGGAAGAGCTATGTTTGAAAGAAACATAGCTCTTTCAAATGGTCTAACAACTTACTCAGTTTGTCAAATATCAACAGAGGCCTGACAATGAACCTCGAGTTGATTATTTGTTTCAGGTGTGTTGAACTAGAAAAGAACAAATACATGCAGGCCTCTGAGGGGTGACTTCAGACACCATTGATCAAAACTATTTCATTGTTCGTCTTTAGGTTGTTGTCCTTGACCTTTTCCTTAGAAGGTGAGTCTCTTCCCTAGTTTCTAGTATTCTGCAGATTTTCTTCCGAGAAAGTTTCCAGAGATTAAAGGGATTTGTATACAGGCTTAAAAGTTCTATCCTGGTTTCGTCTGTCCAGAGCATCTTCTTCTTCTCTGTCTTTCTGGGAGTCCTGACACTCTTCCATAAAAGAATACCTAAACAGTTGTCCTGTCAACAGATCATTCGACCTACGTTTTGGATTTCTGCACCTTTTCCAGAGTTACATGAGCCTATTAGCTGTGTCTGTGATTAATGCTTTCCTTACCAGGGTGTTCACTTAAGGTGGAAAGCCAAGCTGCTTCTTCTCTAAAGTTCTTTAGACCTTCATTGCATGACTGTATTCATACTGAGAGTAAATGCATTTGGATTAAAGTTTTTTCTCAAGTAAACTTTAGAAGTTAGTTAGAAGTTAATTAGGGTTATAAACCCATTGAAGTTTATATATGGGTAGGAAATTAAATGCATAGCATGCTTTCCAGGTTTTTATTTGTAAAAATATGAAAATAATGTCTAATTTTGCTATGAACTTGTTATGGACCACTTGTGTTGATCTGTCACATAAAATCCCAGAACGGCATATTAAAGTTTGGTTGGAATGTGACAAGATGTTTCACAGTTTTTTCTTTGGGTAGCCCAAAGAAAGGTGGTCTCACAATCTTCAGCCAAACGTCAGTAATAATTTATGTTTGTGGAAAAGACAAAAGACAGCTTTTTTCATCCTCCATCATGTTTTGCGTCATTTAACCCACTATGATCTCTGCGTCTGCATGTGAGCCAACTCAGATGAAGCCTGAACCATTTCAGTTCAGATTCTGGAGATGTAGCCCAGGCTCATGAGATGAACTGAGAATAATTGAGATGAATTCATCTGAATTTCTGAGACCAGTTTCAAATTTCCTTTTTTATAAAGTTTAAGCTGCCAGCACAATTTCATCTGTTTCATATTTGTCTTAAAGAACTACGATATATGTAGGAGGTATTTATTGTTATCACAATATAATAGAATATCTCACTGAAAATTAAATTGAATAAATGTATACACTATCCTGTAGGTAGCAGACTGTTTTCATTGAAAAAAGAATCAACAATGAGCAGGCTGTAAAATAGCTCTAATAAACTTGCGGGTGTCGCATATAAGTGAAATTTCCAATACAGGGGTGAAAAACACGATGAAAGGTGTCTGACCCACGTGAGGGAAAACATTTGGCATAAGCTCATATTAAACTAATATCATATCTACATAGTTAATAAAGCACAGGCTAAAAGATCAGTGCAAAATAAGAAAGTGGCATATTGACATTGAAAGACAATAAAACAAAGACAAATAAAATAAATTGAAAGAAAGAAAGAAAGAAAAAAAGAAAGAAAGAAAGGAATAAAGACAGAAAGAAAGAAAGAAAGAAAGAAAGAAAGAAAGAAAGAAAGAAAGAAAGAAAGAAAGAAAGAAAGAGAGAGAGAAGGCAAAGGGGAATTAGTTTTATGATCTGTAATATCCTGGCAGAACTTTATTAGACACTTAAGCATGTGTGACCTGCTTTTTTCACAGCAGGCTGTTAAATGGTAGTGACTTTAGAATGAAAGCTGTGGTCTTCAAGTATCCACAGTCAGGGTGTCCTTCACCTCTTCAGCCTCCGCACAAATGATCTTTCACCTCTCCATCATGGGAGCCATAAATTAGGCAGCTGCTACATTTGGTCTAACCGAACCACAGTATCTGCAGCACACACTTGAGTGTGTTTATGTGCTTTAACTCTGCGTGTGTGTATGTGCAAGAGGGTCATCAAGCAGAATCATCAATTTACATAGTTTATATACACACATGTGGCTCTTGATGGGTTTATGGAAAGAAAAGTTGTTACAATACTGATTAGAAACATCCTCCTGGTGAGGTAAAAGGAAGGAGCGTCGTTAGTTTACTAGTGTGCATACCCCTGAGGATGTAATTCTGGTAGTTCTGGTCCGCTTCAGCTCCCACTTTGATCAAACATGTCAGTCCCTCAGCTACCACAAATTCGTGAACCAAATCTTTGTCATCCTGAAAAGAAAGAACAAGAAAAAAAAGGAAACTATTCAAGATGAGTTATTTATCATTCACAATATGATTTCAGCCAGTGGACATAAATTACCCTCTTTTTCACAGTCACTATAGTTTTGGAATTTTAAGTGACACACAATACAAAGTAGTGAATAAAAATGTGGAGAATGGAAAATAATAGGTTGCTTAATTTCAGTTTTTTTGTTTCCAGTTTTATTCAATCACATTTACTGGAACACTTGAAAATAAAAGCCTTTGCAACAAAAGCAGGGTTCAGTTGTAAAAAAATATTGTGAACTGGAAGCATAATAATTGCAACTATAGGAATTGCAATTATTTGCATGTTGATAAAAACTTTATATTGACAGAATAAGAAACATTTTCAGTTCAAATTTGCATGTATGGTGTAAAACAGGGTGACTAAAAACACAATTTTGAACCAGACTCTACACAGGCATCAAGATATGTATAAAACACATACAATAACCAAGGCAGCTGGTTGAATTAAATTTGTGTTGGTTTCACGTCACAAACTTAGCTTGTATTTTGTTACTGATGGTAAAACCACCTGTGTTTCTCACACCTGTCGGTGACTGCATTATTTAAGACGCAGCATCAGGTTTTCTGCAGGATTTATCGCTTTCTTATACATTCTACTGTTCAGATGGGATAGGGAGGAAGGCAGCAATAAACACTGTGGGGTGGTCAGGGCTTCTTGCGTCCCTGGAGCAGGTCTAAGTGGTTCCAGAACATCTTTACCATATATCACTGATGGAGACTGCAGTCATTTGGTACAGACTCCAAATATACAGAGGTCTACTGAAGAAACAGACATATGCACATATGATATTCGATGTAAGTAACCGTAGCGAGGAAACTTGAGGCATTCTGATCTATTCTGGTGTGGTCGAAGTGTCTGTTGCTTTTGTTCCCATATCGTAACCAGACCTCAAAAGGTCCACAGCTGCCACGAAGGCAGACTCTCAGCAGCACAACTCTGTCTTAGGAAAACAGTACTGTGTCCAAGTGTGAGAGTTCGCTGATGAATGTTTTCACACCACATATATCTCTTGCATTTTAATGGGTGAGCATGAACCGCTGCAAAAATTGCAAACACGAAGCACTGTGGAGGGGATGGGATCTTGCAAGATTTAAGTTAAAGGGAAATGTTCTAACTGTGCTTTGCAAAGAACTTATTTCAAATTGTTGTCAGATTACAGCCAGAAAACATGTTTCACTGGGATTTTATGTGATAGATCAACACAAAGTAGTGCATAAATGAGTAGTGGAAGAAAAATAGATAAATGGCTTTTAATTAAATTTTTATTTCCCCAAATAACTTGTAAAAGGGTTCTGTACATTCCTATTCCATCCCTGATTGATTACTTTGAAAGATCTATTTTGCCTGCAACTGCAGCTGGAAGTCTTTTAGGAATGTCTCTCCTACCTCTGCACATCTAGTCCACTCTTCTTCACAACATAGCTCATGTACAATCGGAGTGAATGGAGACAGCAATAAACATAAAGTATATTTTTTCAGTAGGACTTAAGCCTGGCCTTTGAGTACCGGTACATGTACAGTTAGGGCCAGAAATATTTGGACAGTGACACAGGTTTTGTTATTTTAGCTGTTGACAAAAATATGTTCAGAAATACAATTTATATAATATGGGCTGAAAGTGCACACTCCCAGCTGCAATATGAGAGTTTCCACATCCAAATCGGAGAAAGGGTTTAGGAATCATAGCTCTGTAATGCAGAGCCTCCTCTTTTTCAAGGGACCAAAAGTAATTGGACAATGGACTCCAAAGGCTGCAAGTAACTCAAAAGGCCTTTCCCTCGTTAACCTGTAATCAAGTAAGTAGTTAAAAGGTCTGGGGTTGTTTCCAGGTGTGTGGTTTTGCATTTGGAAGTTGTTGCTGTGACCAGACAACATGCGGTCAAAGGAGCTCTCAATTGAGGTGAAGCAGAACATCCTGAGGCTGAAAAAAAGGAAAAAATCCATCAGAGAGATAGCAGACATGCTTGGAGTAGCAAAATCAACAGTCTGGTACATTCTGTGGAAAAAGGAATTGACTGGTGAGCTTGGGAACTCAAAAAGGCCTGGGCGTCCACGGAAGACAACAGTGGTGGATGATCGCCGCATACTTTCTTTGGTGAAGAAGAACCAGTTCACAACATCAACTGAGGTCCAGAACACTCTCAGGGAAGTAGATGTATCTGTCTCTAAGTCAACAGTAAAGAGAAGACTCCATGAAAGCAATACAAAGGGTTCACATGTAGATGCAAACCATTCATCAATTCCAAAAATAGACAGACCAGAGTTAAATTTGCCCAAAAACACCTCAAGAAGCCAGCCCAGTTCTGGAAAAGTATTCTATGGACAGATGAGACAAAGATCAACCTGTACCAGAATGATGGGAAGAAAAAAGTTTGGAGAAGAAAGGGAACGGCACATGATCCAAGGCACACCACATCCTCTGTAAAACATGGTGGAGGCAACGTGATGGCATGGGCATGCATGGCTTTCAATGGCACTGGGTCACTTGTGTTTATTGATGACATAACAGCAGACAAGAGTAGCCGGATGAATTCTGAAGTGTACCGGGATATACTGTCAGCCCAGATTCAGCCAAATGCTGCAAAGTTGATCGGATGGCGCTTCACAGTACAGATGGATAATGACCCCAAGCATACAGCCAAAGCTACCCAGGAGTTCATGAGAGCAAAAAGGTGGAATATTCTGCAATGGCCAAGTCAATCACCAGATCTTAACCCAATTGAGCATGCATTTCACTTGCTCAAATCCAGACTTCAGACGGAAAGACCCACTAACAAGCAAGACCTGAAGGCTGCGGCTGTAAAGGCCTGGGAAAGCATTAAGAAGGAGGAAACCCAGCGTTTGGTGATGTCCATGGGTTCCAGACTTAAGGCAGTGATTGCCTCCAAAGGATTCGCAACAAAATATTGAGAAAAAACTTTTTGTTTAGGTTATGTTTATATGTCCAATTACTTTTGAGCTCCTAAAATGTGGAGTGTTTGTAAACAAATGTGTACAATTCCTACATTTTCTATCACATATTTTTGTTCAATCCTTTAAATTAAACGTTACAATCTGCACTTGAATTCTGTTGTAGAGGTTTCATTTCAAATCCAATGCGGTGGCATGCAGAGCCCAACTCATAAATATTGTGTTACTGTCCAAATATTTCTGGCCCTAACTGTATGTACCATTCTGACTCTGGATGTTGTTGTTTTGCCTCAAGGTTAAAGTCTAACGTGGCTTGAAAGTTCAATTTCAAACTCTTATCAACTCTGCCCAGTTTTTCTTTTCCTGCTGAATAAAAGCAGCCTAACATCATGGGGCCTTCGGTTAATGGTGTGTTGAGGGTTTCAGTTTTCTGTCACACAGAGTTTTGCATGTGAATTAAAATGTTTGTCTCATCTTACCAGATCTCTGTCGTTAACACATTTGCTGTGTCTTCCACAGGATTAACGATCCATTGATTCAATCCATCAGAGATGCCAGATCCCTTTTGGGTTCTTTGTTGAATAATGATCGCCTTGCATTATTCAAGAATAATATTGAAATGTATCACCAGACACTTTAAGTACGTGTTGATGTTTTCTTTGGTTTGCTATTGATCCAGTAGCAAACAAACCATTTTCAAATGACATATTCAACATTGCATTCAGAGATGTTTTGTTCTCAACCAAACCTCGGAGGGTTTAATCGATCTATACTGAGATTAAATCACACAAACTACCTCATTTTAATTGGTGACTTCTGAAGTCAACTAGTTGCATTTAATGTTATGTAAGGGCATTAGAGAAGAAGGAACAGAATAATAAAGCAATGACAATTTTTTTCTTGTAAAAATATATAACACAGCACACAATTGAAACAAAACAACTTGAAATTTATTATGGCAAACAGGCCAATTGTATGTGGAAAAGCTCAAGGGGTGTGAATACATTCTCAATGCATTGTCAAATAATTAACATATACTAAAGAATTACCTGAAAAATCTGCTTCAGAGAAAAAAGAGCCCTCCGCAGCTCCCGTCCTATGGAGTTATAAAGTTTTTCTGTGAGGAAAGAAAAAAAGAGGAAAAGGTTAATAGCAACATTATCAAGAGAGGTGACTGGGAGAGCTGACTTCCCTTTAAACACCATGCGTTTTAGTACACTATAAGATGATATTCCCATAAATCACTTCCTCATGTGAATGCAATGCACACAATATTGGATTCCAGTCGCTAAATATAAAAACTTTCCCACAAGGGGAACGAAGAAGGCATAAAAACAGTAGGAGAAGCTCAGACAACATCTGCAGAGAGTTAGTGAACGGAGAATGCTTCCTGCTAACAAGGACCAATCTGCAATTTACTATAATAATAATAAAAAAAGAAATCACGGAGTAAGCCTTGACCACTAGCCACCACAATGACTAAGAAACAAGTAATGCATCAATCAGTTATGGGAACTGTACTGAGTAGTAAAGAGATATCTGAGGAGATGTTTCAAATGCTGACATTTTTTTTCTGCAGATCCTCTGGCAATCCTTGATTCTGTGCAGTCTGCAGGATCTACCAGGGAGAGGCAGCGTTGAGCACAAGGAAAGTGGCTTACTCATCACTGCTGTGTGAACGCTCTCTGACTCAGCAAAACCTGACAGTTGCTGTTGCAGACACAGCAGCTTGCAGTGCATTGCAGTTTAATGCAGAGCAGTGCAGGTCAGATCGTTCAATCCTTAATAAACTCTGCAGTGGCTCTTCTTTTTCATTTCTCCTCTCTGTCACATACAAATTGTACTTAAAACATCATCTACAACAGAGAGACAAATACTGTATGTGTATAATGCTGCAAGAATTACAGTCTTCGCACAAAGCATAAATAATAAAAAAGAACTGCTCTTGGGTAAAACTTTAGAGTGAGAAACTCACACTGTTGACTTGATTTGGGACAGGAGAGCAACAGTCTCCTGTTCATTATTGCTGTTGGCTGTGTGAGCTGAAGACTAAATCCCTTCAGCTGATGAACTGAAGCAAAGACAGGGCCGGGGTTCGTTACGCCTGCCAGTTTTGTGGCCAGACACTTTATACTTGTACACGCTCAACCAGACAAAGTGAAAACTCAAAGTTTGATGTCTCTGAGAGGATTTCCAGTGACACGCAACAGATTTCAAAACACACATGAAGCCTTCCACTCAGTAAAAATCATTTGCTGGCACTGTGACAACATGCAGACTGAGTCACGATACTAAAATAGTAACCTAACGTTTTCAGAAAAGTCTGTTATTATGAGGTCTTCTGCATGTCAATTGCTGAGCAAAAACAACAGATAATCTTTGTCTCTGTATAATTGTCAAAGCCTGTCTGGTTTGTTGACAGAAACGGACATGCACCCCCTTGCCATCAATCTAATAAAGTAAAATGTACTACCTTTAGAAACTTTTGGGACCACAAATAAATCTGCAGTCTGAAAGCAAAGTGCTCTGTTGGGAACATATGGAACAATCAAATTTCTGATATATGACTGAGCTTGATGATTGAGTATGTGAGATTTTTAAATTATATTTCCGATTTAACAGGGAGTCAATGAATAAAAACTAAAATAGGAGAAATAACATGTCTCAAATTTAAGTTAATCAGAAATCTTGGTGCAGTATTTTGGTTAAACTTAAAGCTTTTTACTTTTTTGGATTTCCTAATAGTAAAAATTGCAGTAAAAATATGTTCATAAATCTAATCTTTTGTATTAAAGTTATCATTAAGGGGATGAGGTCCCATTAATGACCTCATTAAGGGGGCCTTAATGGTGACCTCACTAACCTGTTGCCTCACACTGCTGGTCAAGCGACTGAAAGAAGGGTAATATACTTTATTTCACTTAAAAGCAAAATAAGTTTGGTTGTTTGAAATTTTGTACAAAAAATACCAACAAATATGAAAGGACCACCACATATTGATCTCAGTAAGGCTCCTCTGTTTTATTGTAACAGTTTTATTTAATAAGGTCGCTGAGCTTATTCCATATTTATGTTACACCGATTTATTACAGATTCATTACAGATACATTACAGATACATTACAGATACAATGATATAAACTGTACCAATGAAAGAATCATTTTCCTTTCATTAAACTTTCTACTAATGTTTGCATTTTCATAACATCTAGAGTATACTATGCTGTGTTCAATGAATCTAAATGCTGTGTTTCACTTTTTTAACCTAAGTACTCAACCCAATTTTTGGCAATATCCTAATCTGATGAGATGCACCTGTATGTGATTGGAAAGTATTGTTTTAATTCATTTTTCATACCAACATTACACAGCATTACAACGGTATCACCTAATACCGTACAACGGTACATCTTGTTCCAAATTTTAAGATCTTAATATTTTCTGCGCTCAGGGCTTTGTGTGGCTCGACTCCCTCTTGAGTAGATGAGTATTGGTCTTTATGGGGAAGTCACCCTGAATTACTGGCAGCAGCGTCCTAGAGGAATAAATTCTGCAACTCCAGAAGTACTGTCAGGGCTAAACTGTGTGATGTTGGTGATTTATGTCTTTATAAATAACAGGAAGGAAGCCTGACTGGAACCTTTCAGTTTGAGGCCCCTAACTGTGCAAGTTGGGGTCACATTGTATTTTTAAAACATGCCATAAAACTGACACATCTTTGTAGTTGCATTTTTTTTTTTTTGGCTCGCTGATTATTACTAAAATTTCTTGCAACTTTGTTATACATGGGATTATAAAACTGAGGAGTATAAAAATGTAAACATACTACACGTACTAAATAAATCAAGACCAAACACATCTTATACGAGGCATTACCCTAATGCCACAAGGTTTTAAAATAATACTACTCCCTCCTGGAGGTCACAATATAGCCAGCTCTATTGCTCTATTGGGTCTTTTGATTGTCTTTCCACAGAAAGACGAGTAGAAGTTTGGATTAGGGTTACTCATCGCACCTTCACAACAAAAAGTGAGCTTGATTTGTGGTCATACCTAACCCCAACTTCAATCAGTGCTCCTTTTCTTCCAAACTGTTGCGACTGCTCAGTGTCCACATGGACACTGATCATTAATCAGTCAGCGGAAAAATTGCACCGAGCATTTTGCTGAGGAGTCTGGGATGGTTCTGCTTGGCAGATGAATCAACACTTGGGTTGCTGTTGAATTCGACTGTATCCCACCAATGGGTTCTGTGTGAGTCCGTCAATCAGCAACAACGAAACAGACAAATTCCTCCATGTACAGCTACGTTGCCATTTGTACAAAGGGCTTGTGCTTCTCTACTTAGCCATGTAGTTTGGACTGCAATAAAACTGTCAGAAAGTTATTCCTGCCTCGCATTAAACGAAGCCCATCTGCAGGAACAGACAGTTCCTTCGCTGTCCCCATCCACAGTCCACACACCGATGTTCCTCCTAGAGGCCTGTGTTTAATGAGAAATAACTCAGTGGAGATTAGTTCCATACCACTTGGCACAGATATGCACCCAAAAGAACGGGCCTTCTCCATTTCCTTATTTAGGAAGAAACCTGGGAGCTTATTTATCCACAGGAAATGTTTGGGTCCCAAATCAATGTGCATATGAAACCATACTAAAAACTTCAGACTCAATCTCTTATAACATTCACCACATAATCTGGCATCGGGCAATCGCAAGCTCAGGGAACAAAGGAAGACATAAAACATCTTGGCTGATTTTAACATGATTTCACCTATTACAGCTAGAATAGCTAAATAAACAAACTGTGACAACCATATAACTTTACATATGCAAAACATACAACTGGCATTTCAACGGTTGTTTTCATCTTCCAGCCTCCAGAGATGTTGCTGATTCTTCATCACACTGACATGTGATTGTGAAGGTATATTAACTTGCAACCAAACTATCACAGTTCCAGTGTGTTAAAATTCAAGCAAAGATTAAAAACATACATAAAATAACTTAAATGCTTTTAATTAAAAAAAAATGAAATAATATATATTGTCCTTACCACTTTGCACTGCATAACCAACTGGACAATGTATTGTTATAATTAGGACTGAGCTGAATATTGTTCATTGACATCTGAATATACCATAACTAAATATTGCAGGTTTTACTCAGTCTACTTCATTGCAGTGCACATTGTTATATTGTCATGATCTTTTTTTGCCATGATGAAATGTAACAATTGGTGGTGTTTACACACATATTGTCATAATACTGATTATTTTCAGAGGTACAATAAATTTTATGACAGCTTTTATTTTGACACACAGATACAGAGTGGTTGTCTAACAGTCTAACACCATCAACATTAACAGGTTACTAATTTATGTTTTTGAAATATCCAGCTTGAAGTTTTCATTTACACGTGATATAGCACAACATTTTCAAAGATTCGAGTTTTACGTTTGGGTTTACAGTAACTGCATATTTGACCAGGTTATGTTTCTGGCCAACTTGATTGTAGCTTGGCTAATTATTATACTGCAAAATCACTGACAAAAATGAGAATGGCATTAACAAGATTGATCATGTTTTAAAGTGCAAAATTCTGTAATAAGCTTTAACAGTAATTTTGAATATGTGATCTTTTGGTGTAACTTGAAGCTGATAACATGGTAATGACTGAACCATACAATTTAGAAAAATCCTGACCTCACAGAATGAGTACATCATTTTGCTGAGCATCACGCTCAGTTTTAATAGAACCAAGTACAGCGACATGACTTTCCAGCATCTGGGTCTTTTGATGCATAATCCTAGTGCACCAATAGATTCTACTATAACAGAGCATTACAGTAGGTATAGCCAAAGAGGTAGAGCATTCAATTATTTATTAACAGAACAGTCATAAATATAGTGAAGTTTCTATCATCAACATGAATGTGCTACAGATAAAAAGCTGTTATGGTGAGTTCATGTCCTCATTCAGCTCAAGGTTTTGATGATGTTTAAGCTGCCCCTAACAAGACAACTTCAAAAAAAAAAAAAGGAAATTTGCACTGTGTTGCTTTTTACGTTCTTTGAATCCTATTCCAACAATTTCCAGATCCCTGTTTCAATTTTCTG